AGTGTATATATATTGGAAAGTAACTGATCAGACATGCAGTGTATATATATTGGAAAGTAACTGATCAGACATGCAGTGTATATATATTGGAAAGTAACTGATCAGACATGCAATGTATATATATTTGTATGTAAATCTCAATATATAATAGTTGTTCAGACATTACGCCGTTCTTTGTATAATAAGCCTCTGTTCATAGTTTTCGCAAACTTAGTATTGCCCATCAAGTTGGTAATGACCAATAAATTGATTGACTGATTTTTTATGTGATCAGTTTAGTGTTTAGATTTTAGTTTAGATTTTCAGAAAACACACAATGAGAAGTTTATAGCAAAATATTTTCTCTTCATTCATATTTAAATATCTATAAAAGTTGTTAACAGAACACTTAGCGTGAAAAGCTTATAAATCTATGCTACTGATAATAATGGTCACAGGTCTGTTCTAAAATTAGTCAGGTGAACAAATTTGGCACTTAAACACGAACGGAAATGTCGGATATCTACATAGTCATGCATTACAGACCAGGCGTGACCGAGATTTTGCGTGCCAGACAATGAATAAGAAGGTTCCTAATGCGCATCTCGTTGCCGTAAAATTGTCTTTTGCACATTGGAACCGTGGGCTGTTATAAGAGTGACAGTCAAATCCAACTATCCAATTCAAATAGTCCAAGAGTTAACGGTGGGTACTGTTGACTATCTGCCTTCTCTCTAGTCCATCAGTCCAAATTTAGGGACGGCTAACCCAAATAATCTATAGGTAGTTTTGCGTGAATATCTGAAACAAATAAATATAAACATTCGTTCAGTTTTCAAGATTTTTGTTTGAACTCATTGCAAAAATACGCTTGAGGTCAAGAACGTTTACTGATATATCCATTTATGTAAATTGTTAACCCTAGGATTACCAATGATAATCCAACTTTTTAAACACATTTATATTGGTTACAGAGTCTCTAATACTATACGAATCACATACACACACAAAACTGTTAAGATAAACACCGTCGATATTGTAGTTAACTCCACTCAGCTACTACTGGGGGTCCTCTACGTAAATTTATCCAGTTTTTTTTAAATGAGTTATTTAGATCGAGTGTTATAGTAGAGGCAAACATAACATTTCTCAATATGATGTAATATGTGGACCCACCGGTAGAGGACGATATATAAACAAGCCAGTAATACCCAAGTGGTGCAACTGATTAGATTTCGGGTTTTTTTAAAAAAAACTTTATATAAATGAACCCATTTTTAACTTACATAAATTTTCTTTAAAATTATATTTAAAATGATAGATTTATGTGACATCTATGCACTTTTAACAAGCCGATCTACCTCCCGTGTATTGGTACCTTCCGGATAATCGTCTAGAGAGAGAGAGAGAGTACTCACTATGACCTGAACTTTGACCCCCAGCCTCATTAATCACCATTTTTCAAGTTGTTCCATCCGTATTTGAATGTTTTGAAACGAAGGGAGTTTTGTTTTCTTCCTCGTTTAGTTAAGTATAAAGAAAAAAGATCCCATTCTCCGGATTGTTCAGTAGCAACTTGTTTTATCTCATTGTTGGTGTGCCCAAGTTTATACTAAGTAGTTACATCTGCGTATTACAGTACAAGAATCCCAGTTACACACCAAGGCACATGTGTATGCCCAAACGGTTGGACGGATGTGAAATCAATCCAATGGAAGCCATAAAGCTGAAAACAAAACCGTTTTCTTATTGTCAACCTGCGTTTACTACTGCTTATTTTATAGCAGCTGCACCATAGAATAAACAACAATAAAAATTAAATCAGCCACGAGGTAAATGAACATGCTCTATCCACGAAGTCAGCGTTATAGGAAGATCACTGTTATAGTAGAATTTGCTTATAATATCAACATTATGGCATGAGATGTTGAAACTCCATAGCCGAGTGTTTCCTATTTTTAAACATTGTTTCAGTTTGGTGGCTAAGGACAACTGAAAGTGAGTTGTTGTTGTTTTTATTTCGTACGCAATGTCGGTTTGTTTGTATAATTGAGAAGACTTTAACTTTAAAATGTTTAAGATAATATATTTATTGAACTTAAGTAAGAAAGAAAAGACCAAATATTCATGCACGGGAAGTTACAAGTTTGCTGTGCATAACCGTCCCTCATTTTGAACTACAGAAAGGTTAACATCATCCATCGCCAACTCTTCGACTACTCTTGTTTGTCCAATTTGACCGTTATGCTTACAGTGCACCAACGGCCCCAAAATGCAAGCGTGGTTTTGCGGCAACGAACCGCGAAGTACCTATCCATGGATTCGCAGTCCGAGCACCCTAACCACTAAGCCACACTCGGCCCTAAGTGATAAGTCAGAATGGATTCTAAGTGAACAGTTCACGAAATTAGTTTTAGAAATGTAACAAATAAATGGGATTAACAGAATAGGACAGGAGGGTTGAACTGTTCAGTTCCAGAAAGTTTCTTGAGTTGAACTGTTCAGTTCCAGAAAGTTTCTTGAGTTGAACAAAGCTTTCTTTGAAAGTCTCTAATCTTCTGATGTTCTTGTAGAAAATTATCAAATTAAAATTGTTTAAATTTGGTCTAGAGCTTTATTTAAGTGTCTCGAATCTTACCAACCCATACGTTCGTAACTGACATTTATACCTAAGGTTATTCTTTAAAAGTTTTACTTTTTTGTACCTATAAATGTATATAGGTAAAAGAAAACGAAGAACGTTGTCAGAAATCTTCCGAATCAGACAAGCAGGGACTGGAGAAAGTTTTCCAACAGCCAACCATCGTTGTTGAAGATGTTGGGAGTGACGATGAAACCACAGAAGATCAGGACAGTGGCCAGTCACAATGTTCCAGAAAAGAAGAAGACAGTCCTCCGGTTGACCTAGATGACCTTACCAACTCCTCGGCTTTCACTTATCAAAGTTCCGAAGATTTGGGGAAAAAAAATCAAGATTATGAAAGCGAGAATATTTTACAAAATGGACACTCTCGTCCCAAAGAAACTGAACTTACTCACAGCGGTGAGAAAATCGTGCCTGAGAAAGGAGCAGAGAATGAAATCACTGATGAACCGGCAAATATTTCCAAGGTAGACACTCAGAAAGACTAGTGGAAAGGATGTAAAGATGATAAGCCTTTCTTGTTTCATAGTTTGTTGTATATGTGTGTGTGTTACATCTGGATTCACATATCATCAAGGAACTCATTCTAGCAATATGTTTAGTTCTCTTCTACAACTAAGTGTTTATTCATAAGTTTCACATTTTTGAAAGTAATTCCCAAATCTCTTACTAAGAGCGCCACGACACGAACGACTTGTTTAATTAAGGTCCAAATCATTTTGGTCCCAAGAGATCCACTTTTTGGCGAATATTGTTAAATTTTTTATATTTCTTTCAGTCACAGATTGAAATGCATTTGTTGATATAACATCTATTTTGAGGACATCCAACAAGTATCTTTGTTTGTAATTTCTCAGTCGTTTTGTTCCATCACGTAAGATCAATTTTCAGGTCATCCAATATACGTTAAAGAACGTTATTGGCGATTTCTAAGTAGTGTCGTTTTCATCTGTCACAGGAAATTCCTCATGTAGTTTTTGGGAACATTTCTTAGGCTTTTCGTCTTTTTGCTTTCAGTCATAGGTAAAGATGGAAGTGTTAACGCAAAGTCAGTTTTCAAACCATCCAATACATCTTAAGAAGTAGTTTTGGTAATTTCGCCCCCCCCCCCCCAACTAGAGGGGAGTTCCTCGTTTAGTTTTGATGAACATAGTTGAGCTTGTTGATAGTTTTATTTCTGTTTTCAATTGTTTATATCGAGTTTTTTCAGTACACGATTGAAGAACGGGATTTGATTTTATTACTATGTATGGATGCATATTGTTTTCTTGATATGCAATCATTTGTAAGTTCTGTGAGCAGTTTAGGATCATACAATTGTTTTTTTCTGTAAGTCGAAGTAAATTAATAGATTTGAAATGAATTTTTGTAAATAGAAAAAAAGCAGGTTTTATATTCACCAAGAGAAGTATAATTTACCCGTAATTGAAGAAGAGTTTTCAATTTTTCCCCCTTGTGGTTTGGTGGACAATTTAGTTAAACCACGTACGTATGCATGCTTCAATCTTTTTAACACATTGGTTCTCAGATTTTTTTTTAATCCCATCGAACAACCATGGGATCTATATACTATGCTGCCGTTTCCTTTCCGTGATTATGCAACCTTCTTTCCACGAAACACCTGGAGTACGCGGACCTCCAATGGTTCCAAGACCGCTGTCCTAGAGCATTTTTAAGCACATAAAGAAGACGTCTACGACCTGATCTACGCACTTCTGTTATCCAAACAGTCTACACATATTTAAAGAAGTCTACAACCTGATCTACGCACTTCTGTTATCCAAACAGTCTACACATATTTAAAGACGTCTACAACCTGATCTACGCACTTCTGTTATCCAAACTTTAAATATGTGTAGACTGTTTGGATAAAGAAGTGCGTAGATCAGGTGGTAGACGTCTTTAAATATGTGTGGACTGTTTGGACAACAGAAGTGCGTGGATCAGGTGGTAGACGTCTTTAAATATGTGTAGACTCTATGCTTTATCCACTTGAGTTATTCACTTATATACCAGTTTTGCATTTTATTGGATGCTCATCAGTACCAAAAAAAGAAAAAAAAAGATGGATTACATCTCTATTTAACACAAAAAAGCATTCTTCGAGATGCGAAACCGATGTGTGGGTAACCAGCACATGTGGGTAGGACAACACTAAAAACATCAAACTGTGTGAATACCTGAGTAGCTCACGTGGGTAAGATGAAATTTGTAAAAACAAAAGAAATGTGTCAAGACCTAAGCAGCTCATGTTGTTAAAATAAAAATAAAAAAAACATCAGAACTGTGTGAATACTTAAATATTTCACGTGGGTAAGACAACACTAAAAATCAGAATTGTGTGAATACCTGAGTAGCTCAAGTGGGTAAGACGAAATTAACAAAGACAACAGAACCGTTTCAAGTCTTGAGCAACTCACGTAAGATAACATGAAAGAACTGTGTGAATACCTGAGAAGCTGAACTGGGTAAAATAAAGTGAAAGAACATCAGACCGTATGAATACCTGAGTAGCTCATCTGCGTAAGACAAAATAAAAGAAACAACAACAGAACAGTGTGAATACCTGGGTAGCTCATGTGGGTAAGATAAAAAATATATATATATATCAGAACTGCACGAATACCTAAGTAGCTCAACCTGAGCGAGACAAAAAAAAACAGGACTGTGTGGATATCTGAGTTGCTCAATTGGGTAAGACAAAAGGAAAAAAAACAACATTAAAACTGTGTGTGAGGCTCCTTTATAGTTTGTTATACAGACAATTTAGAAGTACCAAACGTTTTTAAAGTATTTTTTTTAGTAGAAAAGTCAGACTCCTTTTTTTTTTGGTAGGTAGATGTGGTGTATATTTACAGATTATTTAAAAAAATATTAAACTTATACAAACTAGCTTTTTTAGCAGAAAGATCAAACATATTTTTTGTTTGGGGTAGGAGTGAATATAGATTAATTTCAAAATACTAAACTTATCCAAATTATTTTTTTTTTTACAAAAAAGTAAAATTTTTTTGAGGAGGCGTTTTTGTATATAGATTAGGCTAAAAGTACCAAACTAATCCAAAGTTGTTTCCTTGGTACAAAGTAGTAGTTTAGAGTGCGATTATTTATATTCCCAAAATTTTGCTATCCTTGTAAAATAGGTTTAATAGTTCTTAAAATCTACGGTTGGACCGTGAGAATATAGTTGAATTAATTCCTTATTTTATAGAATACTACTTAGATTATAAGCTTGTACCCAAACAGAATACGTTATCCCTTAATTTAAGGATTTAATTATATCTCCTAAGTATACTGTTTGCACTCGTGTGTGTGTAGGCAGTACTTGAATAGAGGGCGCTTCAGTCGCAAGGTAAGGGTTTTCTTTACATACGCGTTTTGCTTACGAAATGTTAGTCATGATAACTAAATAACTGTACTTTCTTATTTTGAGTATAAATGGAAGTAAAACTTGATAACGAGGATGACAAAATCTTGTCGAAATGTCGTACATTTATGATAAAGAATTTTCATTGCCCAGTCAAGCCGTCTCAAAACTTTAAAATGGAAGTTATTTCATGTTAAATGACATTTTTCAGTTTATGTTTCAGTTAAATTATGTTGGGTTATTTTGAAATATAAAGTTGCGTGATGTACAGAGCTAGAGTAACTTTTGTTATATTAATACAAACTTCTTTTTTTGACATGAAAAACTAGACACGTGGTGGTTTTTAAGAACATTGCTTTGTCATGTATCTAGTTATCGTAAACGTGACTTTTACTCCGTGTTTTATGCAGTGTAATAATTAATTATTTACGTTTGACTTAATAAAGTACATAAGAGTTTATTTGACTTATTGATTAATAAGATACATAATGGTTTATGGTTGGCTTATTGGTTGATAAGATACATAATGGTTTTTGTTTGAATTACTGGTTAATAAGATACATAATAAGTTATGTTTGGGTTATTGGTTGATAAGATACATAATAGGTTATGTTTGGGCTATTGGTTGATAAGATACCTGATAATTTATGTTTGACTTATTGGTTGTTAAGATAGATAATGGCTTATTGTTTCTTATTTTTTTATTGATAAGATACATCATGTTTTATGTTTGTCTTTTTGGTTGATAAGATATATAATGGTTTATGTTTGTGTTATTGGTTGATAAGATACATAATGGTTTTTGTTTGATTTACTGGTTAATAAGATACATAATAGGTTATGTTTGGCTTATTGGTTGATAAGATACATAATAGGTTATGCTTGGGCTATTGGTTGATAAGATACCCAATAGTTTATGTTTGGGTTATTGGTTCATAAGATACCAAATAGTTTATGTTTGTCTTATTGATTGATAAGATACATAATGGTTATGTTTGGCTTATTGGTTGATAAGATATCTAATAGTTTATGTTTGGGTTATTGGTTGATAAGATACCAAATAGTTTATGTTTGTCTTATTGGTCGATAAGATATCTAATAGTTTATGTTTGGGTTATTGGTTGATAAGATACCAAATAGTTTATGTTTGTCTTATTGATTAATAAGATACATAATAGTTTATGTTTGACTTATTGGTCGATAAGATGCATAATAATTTCTGTTTGACACATTGCTTGGTAAGATACATAATAATTTCTGTTTGACACATTGCTTGGTAAGATACATAATATTTTATGTTTGACTTATTGGTTGAGAAGATACATAATGGTTTATGTTTGAAAATTGGTTTGTAATGTACGTAAGTAATAGTTAAATTTCACTTATTGATTAATAAGGTGCATTATTACAAGTTTATTTTTGACTTCTTGATTTTGCAGTGTAAAATGAATAGTTTATTTAGTACATATGTGTTTGACTTTATTGATGTACAGCTGACAACAAAATGTGGCCCATGTTTTATATGATGCTGCCCAAGCTAATGTACAGTACTTCGGTTTTGGTGTCTTTAGTCATTCAAAATAAACACTTTCAGAAAGAAGTACAGTTAGTAAATAATCTTGAGAGCAATATTGGAAAAAATAATAATTAAAGTTAAGTTATTCATAGTTTGTATTATGCTTTTTATTGTGATTACGTATATTTTTTTTATTCCCTACCTACCTCCGTACCCCCGATGGTTAAGCGTTAGATCTACTGGCCTAATGCAAAGAAAATCGGGCTTCGATACGTGTGGTGGGCACAGCACAGATAGCCCATTGTGTAACAAATAAACAAACAAAACCTACCTCCGTACAATATTTAGCAGCATTGTATTGTATTGTACGAAACGCACTTTGAACAAAACATTGTTCTTAGTTTACAGACTTCTCAGGATCCCAGATATCAGTTCTTCCACGTATATTATAAAGTATGAAAAATCTGTAAATTGGGGATTACAACTAAACAATACGGGTAGCGTGTTACCATTCCCACCACTTTAAACACCTTCCACCCTTTGTGAACCACGTGTTAAAATCTACAGTACATTTAATACCGAAAACTAGTGCCATTACTTTTTTAAATATTATTTTCGTGAATACCCAAAGTGATATGCATTTCTCGTCGCACAAAAAAAAAGTTTATTGTCATTTTTAATAGAAGTACTGTTAGTAAGTAACATTGCCTTTAAAGTGCATGCTACATCCTACTGTTCTCCCTAACGCACGCGCCCCCCAGTGGCACAGCGGTATGTCTGCGGACTTACAACGCTAGAATCCGGGCTTCGATACCCGTGGTGGGCAGAACACAGATAGCCCATTGTGTAGCTTTGTGCTTAATTATAAACAAACCCTAACGCACGCGCAAAACTGTGGACATTAAGATAGAAATACAATGATTTAAAGTATGTCATTCAAATAACGCTATTAAAGAGCACTGTCCTATCATATTGAAGCTTAACACTTGCTTTTCAGTTAAATTCATAATTGAACACTGTCCAATGTCCTGCATCAGATACTTGTCCAACATTGAGGTGACACGTTTGCTCGCGCGAAAGGCAAAAAGACACGCCATATTTGGAATAAAAAACAATCAACTTTGGTCTTATTGTTTTGCTTACAGACAGCGTTTCCGTTTCAAATCGAAAGCCAACCTAGACACAGTAAACTTACGAATTCGATTGGTTGAGGTGCGGCCTTGGAAGAATGTGTTTTGTTTACAGATAGTGTTTCCGTGTCAAATCGAAAGCCAACCTAGACACAGTAAACTTACGAATTCGATTGGTTGAGGTGCGGCCTTGGAAGAATGTGTTTTGTTTACATTGCAAAGAGAATGGAAATAAACAACAGATTTTCTATACCTGACTTTATGCAAGAAAATATTCAACAAATAATAGCTTATAATGGGGGAGTACTATTTGTGTTACATGATAACTCCGTGATATTCACCCTTTTTGACATGATTGCTTATAAGTAACGGTAATTACCGAAGTGCTTTACTGCATGGAGCTTATGATCAAGTAATCTTTTCACTCACAGCCAAACGTAGTTCTTTATTATATTGGACGCCGGTAAGAAGGTAGCGTTATTTTACCATGTGTATTTTGTGGTGTCACGTTCCACGTGTACAAAAACACCTTCTCAGTCAACCAAACAATCGCTTTTAACACGTAGACTCGTTATCAGTCTATCCACTTCCTTTCATCCTCGTCACAAACGTGCTTAGGCATCATATATTGATTTACGCTACTAGAGGAGGAAGCAGGCTCTACTTCTCTCACGCTTGCTGTCCAACCCCAGATTTGAAAATAAAACACTCGAAGTTCACAGAAATTTGCAGTCTGATATAACTAAGTATAGACATGTATAATACTGGTAATAATTTGACTGGAAGATCAGTTGTACGGAGTTACGTTTTATTTATTTTTTATAT